GGGGGCGCGGCAGTCGTGCGGACCTCGCTGTCTTTGCTCAGGTCGGAAACATGAGCAGCAATAACTTGAGTGGCAACGACGAGTTTGATGAGCAGTTGCGGATGCAAGAATTATACGGAGACCCCAAGGACGGCGATCCCCAGGAAGATCCCGGTGGAGAAGCCAATTCTTTGGGGCAGCAGCCGGCTGACACCCCCTACGAATGGGATCTGGACAAGAAGGCATGGTTCCCCAAGGTAAGAGTAACTGCAGAGCGGCCCTCCGGGCCAGCCATGTGGGGCACTCCTACGTTTTCTTCCCTAGTTAGAGCCTCTTGGATAGAGATGTTTCTTTCTGTTGAGTCTGTTGCGGAACCGATGTGTCAAGGAGCATAAGATTTAAGGAAATGGTACAAATGTAACTCTTAAGTCTTTCCTGTTATTTATTCATTTATTCTGTGAAGGTCACAGTTGGTTGTTACATTAGTGACTGCTTTTGATTGCCAAAAGGAAAAACACCAAGAACAAATTTAGCAGCTGTTGATCTCAGATAGCCAACCTCACTTATCCTGGGAATACACAGTTTTAGTTTAAATGTGCAAAGTGCATCCTCTTGATTAACAAAAAGGTAGTTGTTTATGTGTCTTTAGTGAATGAACTTTGCACCAGTCTTTACTTTGCTCCTGAATTTTGTACCTAGGCATATATGTTTGAACCATGTAACCATATATGACTGGAGATGCACAAATGTGGATGGAGAAAGTCTGTGTGTATTTGTTCTAAGTAGTCAGAAAACGTTAGATACTTTATTTCAGCTTGGAAGTAAAATAACTCCTTTTAAACTTGGTTTGGTCTAAGCATGGCAGTAAAACACCACCCACCAAACCAAACTCAATGCCATGGAGTCAGTTCCGACTCATAGAGACCCCCATTGGGTTTCCAAGGCCGTAAATCTTTATGGAAGTAGATTGCCCCATCTTCCTTCCACGGAGCGGTTGGTGGGTTTGAACCACCAACTTCTTGGTTAGTAGTCAAATGTCTTAAGTGTAAGAACACCAGAGCTCCTTATGGCAGTAAAAATACCCTGTTAGATAATCTAAGTCTTACATGGATGAGGAGAACGGGGTATTGTACACAGATGTTGAAGTTGCCAAGGTTTTCATTTTACTTGGATGCACAACTCCTATGAAAGCAGCAATCAGGAAATCAAACAACGAATTGCATTGGGCCAAGTTGCTACAGAAGACCTCTTTAAAGTGTTGAAAAGCAAAGATGTCACTTTGAGGTCTTAAAGTGTGCGTAACCCAAGCCAAAGTATTTTCAGTTGCCTCCTATACACATGTGGAAGTTGAACAGTGAATAAGGAAGACCAAAGAAGAATTGATGCCTTTGAATTGTGGTGTTGGCAAAGAATATTGAATATACCATAGATAGAGTTACTATATACAGTGACTGACCTTGCATTAAGGAGCCCTGGTGGCACAGTGGTTAAGTGCTACACTGCTAACCAAAAGGTCAGCAGTTCAAACCCACCAGTCTCTCTGTGGGAGAAAGATGTGGCAGTCTGCTTCCTTAAAGATCACAGCCTTGGAAACCCTCTGGGGCAGTCCTACTCTGTCCTTATAGGGTCAGTATGAGTTGGAATCAACTTCAAGGCAACAGGTTTGGTTTTTGGAAATCTTGCGATTACACTTTAATTGTTACAACTATTCCCCACAGAAACACTTCTGTGTTAATTTGTGTGACTGAATATGCTGTCATTGAACGCAGTTGAAACTTTGTATGGGAGAAAATGAACTTGAATTTTTGTATGTGCTGGATTGCCTGTTTAGATCACTGAAGATTTCATAGCTACGTATCAGGCCAATTACGGCTTCACTAACGAGGGAGCATCCAGCTCTACTGCAAACGTCCAGGATGTCAGTGCTGGTAATGCGGCGGAACCTCCGCAGAGAAAGTCCCCAGAGCCCAGTGAACCCAAAAAGAAGGGAGAAAAACGAAAGGCTGAATCAGGCAAGTGGTTCTAGCTTGTGAAACAGGAGCTGCAAAATGAAAATGCATGTGAGAATTTCTGTGCATGTATAGAAGTCTTGGAGAGTTATGATAGCTAAATTACCAATATAAAACGAATTAAAACTGCAAAATGATAATGAGGTTTTTTTTTAAGGTAGTGTCACAATCATAAAGAACCAAGATAAACTAGCCATCTTTTTTCAGCCAGGTCTCTGAAACTATCTGTCAAAAGATTCAAATACTTTGAAAGCTGGGCAGTGATTTGAGTTAGTTTTTCTTATTCTTCTAAGGTAAGAGAAAGTTCTGGAAGTTTTAGAAAACTGCCATGTTGTCAGGATTTCATGCATACGTTTTACTTGTTTGGTTTTGTTCTTTAGGCTGGTTTCACGTTGAAGAAGACAGAAATACAAACGTGTATGTGTCTGGTAGGTATACCTTTTAAAACAAAGTTAGTGTTTAAAAAGATTCCATGGTGAGATTTTTCACAAAGTGCTTTTCAGTTTCTCTAAAGTCCATTTTTCATCACTGTGTCATTATACCATTCTGTTCAGCTGTGTACGTCAGTGAGGAGTGTGACTGTTGTTTTTTAACAGTACTAGGAAAAGTGTGTGTAACTTGGCATGTCATCCTTTTGGCTTGCTTTTAGTGGTTTATGGCAGCTTGCCCCTTCAGGTTCAGTGATATGAGGCCTAAGCAGAGCATAATTTTAATATTTATCTGAATACATGAAAGTGATGGAATTTTCCCACTTCTATAGATAGGAGATTTTTTTCATAGCATTTAGAAAATCTAAGTTGTATATCGTGTGTTCCTACTTGGTAATCTCACCCTTACTGTAGAAGTGATTATAAAGGTTTTTTTTTCTTTTTTTTAATGCTATAGGTTTGCCGCCAGACATTACAGTGGATGAATTTATACAGCTCATGTCCAGATTTGGCATTATCATGAGAGATCCTCAAACGGAAGAATTTAAGGTCAAGCTTTACAAGGATAATCAAGGAAATCTTAAAGGAGATGGGCTTTGCTGTTATTTGAAGGTTAGTTATGCAGTCAGACAGGCTTCTCGTAGCTCCGTTTTTAACTCCAGTACCAAAACCAGCTGCTGTTTTGGTAGACTCCAAATCACAGCAAGCCGTGTGTGTCCGAGGGGCAGTGTGCTCCATCGAGTTTCCAGGGGCTGAATTTTCAGAAGTAGATCACCTGTCTTCTGAGATGCCTCTGAGTGAACTTGAACTTGCCAGCCTTTGGGTTAACAGCCAAGCACCTTAACCATTTGTATCACCCCGGAACCAGGGCTGTAATCTTTTATAGATGATAAGCAGACTGAGAGCTATTCAAAGCAGAGTGGGAAGAAAGCTGCAATTTCAGCTTGTATCTCTTTAGCACACTGGTAATATTTGTCCATTAGGTCACAAAGTGTTACACATAAGTTACATGAGATAGAATCGGTTCATAACACATTTCTAAAATCCCAAGATAAACAGACAAAGCCTGTAATGTTTTATTTGCCTATTGCAATGAATTAGACCTGGATTTGGCAAACTCTGGCCCACTACCTGTTTTTTTAAATATATTTTTTTGGGGGGAACACAACCACATTCATTCATTGATGCATTTGTTTATAGCTCTTTTATGCTTTACTGGCAGAGTTGCGACTTGGACCACATGTTCCATCCCTAAAACCAAACACACTGTCATCAAGTCAATTTTGATGAGAGGGACCCTATAGAGTTTCTAAGGCTGTAAATCTTAAGGAAGTAGAGTGTTACATCTTTATCTTACAGAGCAACTGGTGGGTTTAAACCACCAACCTTTTAGTTAGCAGCCGATTTCCTCTAAAGCACTGTACCGACAGAGCTCGTCTCATGGTCCATACAACCTAGCATATTTACTAATTGTCCCTTTACAAAAGAAGTGTGCTGACCCCTTACTTAACCATAAAAGAGATGATACCGTGCACTTAGCTTTGCCATGTTTTTGGAATAGGTGAGAAGAGAGGGTGATATTAATAAAAATTGGCAGGTCTTCCTATATTCATGGTTCTGTAAATGACACAGAGAAAGCTCAGTGCCAAACGAAGTCATTTCTGGAACCCCTGTCACCTTAGGAGCATGTGTTACACATTGTTGCAGGGTACAGAAGAAATGGTTCATGTGTCTTAGAATCTGAAAATCATTATAGGGTCAACTCAAGACTAAAACAGCAGCACAAACACTATGTGTGTTATGAGTATACCAAATGCCAGTGGGATCAGAGGAAAGCTGATGGCTTTTTGGGAAATAGATTTTTGGCCTGGATCCTGAGTGTGATGGGAATAGGACATGGGCATGACCATTATGGAAAGAAGTTGTGTTAATGTTTACAGGTAAGGGGGTCGGAGAGTTTCACAAGTTCGTCATGGATTATTAAAAGTCTCTAAACAGATCTTAGGGGATTTGACTGGATTTTAAACCTTTTTTTAAGGGAAAAAAGACTTTTGGAAAAATTGGGATATGATTTATGACTCATAAAAATGCAAGATTGGCAGATGAGTAAACTGAGTTGGGAAAGCATACCCTTCATTCCTGCAGGAGCTATATTTGAAGTGAGCAGTTGAATTCACTTGTCCTTTCGTGTGTTTCCCCAGGTCTTCAGAGCTTGGGCTCTGTGTAGGGCTGATGGCTGCCTGTTTTGTATAGGGTTCAGAATCCACAAATGTGTTTAGTGTAATGCCATCACTTAATCGACTCTTCTCAGTGTATTACATATAGCTGTACTAGAATTTAGTTGGTGAATACTACTACTGCTAAAAAAAAAAAGGCAGCCTATGGAGCTCCCAGGAGCTCTGATGGTACTGTAGTTAAGGCATTGTGCTACTAACCAAAAGGTTGGCAGTTCAAACCCTCCAGCTGTTCCCCAGGAGAAACATGGAGCTTCTGTAAAGATTTACAGCCTTGGAAGCCCTATGGGGGTTGCTACAAGTCGGAATCAATGTGACGGCAGTGAGTTTGTTTGTTTTTAGTGCTATTCCCAGTTGCTTGAGTCACCTCGTCTTCTAAGTAGGAGTATTACATGATTTTAAGACTGGAATGGACCTTAGAAATCATGTGAGCCCATTTGCCTCATTCTATAAGATGAGCAATTGAGGCTCAAGAGGCAAAGGTACTTTTCCAATAAATAATCACTTTTTCTTTTGAGCACCTGTCATATGCCAGTCACTATCCTCGATCTGTGCTGTTCCATTTTGTCATCTCAAGAACCCGGTGGTGAAGGCATTACTCTTCCCGTTTTACAGATGAGGAAGTTGGGGCTCAGAAAGCTTGAAGAACTTGCCCAGGTTTATACAACTGGTTAGGGTCCCCTCTACCTCAGATTTCCTGATACTCATTTGAGAGTCCTTTGCTGTAATGCCTAAGGCGTTTGACTGCTAACCAGAAGGCTGGCGGTTCAAACCCACCAACCCCTCCTCGGAAGGAAGATTGGGCAATCTATTTCCATAGTGATGTTGTTGTTGTTGTTATATGTTGTCGAGTCGGCCCCAACTCATAGCGACCCCTCCTTGGGTTTCCGAGGCAGCATCACTACGGAAGTAGGATTGCCCAACCTTCCTTCCGAGGAGTGGCTGGTGGGTTTGAACCGCCAGCCGTCTGGTTAGCAGGCAAGTGTCTTAGCCACTATGCTACCAGAGCTCCCATAGTGATAGTACCTCAGAAACCCAATGAGGGGTCACTATGAGTTGGATCCAACTCAACAGCAGTGAGTTTGGGTTTTTTTTGGGGGGGTGGTTATCCCCCAACTAGGTGATGGTTGTTATGTGCTGTCAAGTCGGACCCGACTCACAGCGACCCCTCCTTGGGTTTTCAAGGCAGTATCACTAGGGAAATAGATTGCCCAACCTTCCTTCCGAGGAGTGGATAGGGTAGTTGTATTTAAATCTCTATTGTGTGTATAGTCACAGTTCATCTAAAAAAACTCCTGAAATTTCATTGCAGTGTATAACTTGTTGCCTGTATTTTGTTCTACCTTTATAAAGAAAGAATCAGTGGATCTTGCATTAAAACTTTTGGATGAAGATGAAATTAGGGGCTACAAATTACATGTGGAGGTGGCACAGTTTCAACTGAAGGGAGAATATGATGCCTCAAAAAAGAAGAAGAAATGCAAAGACTACAAGAAGAAGCTGTCAATGCAACAAAAGTGTGTATTATTTTCTGTCCTCTGTGAAAGGTTTCATGTAAATGTCCTGGAGTATATTTTTGGTAATGGCCACCTAATTTCACTTCATTATATGTGCCTACAAATTTGAAAAGAATTTCGTTAGATAATCGGGAGCTTTCACTCACATATACAATAGGGTGACTGACTTGGCAGTGGCAGTGTTTTTCATTTTCTGGTGTGTTTATTTATAATATAACAGGGGCTTAAGGGAAGTAATCCCTGGAAAATGCTGGACATCAGATTAAATAAGAAAGGTTAGTCTTATGTAAAAAAAAACCAAATGCACTGCCGTCGAGTCAGATTTGACTCATAGCAACCCGTCCTTGGGTTTCTGAGGTGGTATAGCTACGGAACTAGATTGCTCAATTTTCCTTCCAAGGAGTGGCCGGTGGGTTTGAACTGCCAGCCTTCTGGTTAGCAGCCAGATGCCTTAGGCCACCAGTATACCGATCCGCTTAGTTCCTTTTCAGTGTGGATTGAAACCAACTACATTGGGAGCTAAAGCTTCCTATACAGGTTTATTAGGAAGTGAAATAAGAAATGTTAGGTTTTATTATCACACTGGGCAATTTATTTGCGTAGTGATACCGCCTCAGAAACCCAAGTAGGGCTTGCTGTGAGTTGGATCCGACTCCATGGCAGTGAGTTTTGGTTTTGTAGTATATACATAAAGCACTCATTTCTTATTAACAGATTTTGTGTAGTAAACTTTGTTAGTTCTAAGAATTTAGCCATAATGGTAGGTACTTTTATCAGCGTGAGTTCTAATACTGTGCTTAGAACTTCTAATACTGTGCTTAGTAATGGTAAAGTGTTACCCTCTAGCTTTTGCTAGAGTGTTACCCTCTAGCTTTTAAAGTTTTTTATGAGTAGCAGTATAAGAGTGGGTGTTTTCATATTTAACACATATTTCAATGTACTTTGTTCTTCATAACCATGTAAAATGCCTAAAACCCACTATCATTTAAAAATCTTTTTTTGTTGTTTTGTTTTTAGCCTCAAAATCTTCCTAAATAGTCATAAACACTGATGATTATCTGTCCTTCAGGAGTCTCATTGGAATGATTGTAATCAGACAGCAGTTGCTCTGAAAACAGTCTATTTTAGGAAATTCACATACTGAGTCCCTTATTAAATACTCAATAAAGGGTTATATCAACAACTCATATTTTTCTCCCTCCGATCCAAATCAACCCAAACCCACTACCATCTATTCTGACTCATAGCAACCCTACTGGACAGAGTAGAAACTCCCCATAGGGTCTCTAAGGCTGCACATCTTTATGGAAACTGACTGCTTCATCTTTCTTCCATGTAGAGGATGGTGGGTTCAAACTGCCAACCTTTTGCTTAGTAGGCAAATGCCTTAACCACTGCACCACCAGACCTCCTCCTCTCTCCAGCTGTTGTTGTTGTTATGTGCCATCAAGTCGGACCCGACTCATAGCAACCCCTTTGGGTTTCCGAGGCAGTATCACTACGGAAGTAGATTGCCCCATCTTCCTTCTGAGGAGTGGCTGGTGGGTTTGAACTGCCAGCCTTCTGTTTAGCAGGCAAGTGCCTTAGACACTACACTACCAGAGCTCCCCCCTCTCCAATAAGTACCTACAAATATGAGACAAAAGTCCCAGTTTCTTACTTCTGCTTTCTTGCATTAGGCAGCTGGATTGGAGACCTGAGAGAAAAGCTGGACCATCCCGAATGCGCCACGAGCGAGTTGTTATCATCAAAAATATGTTCCATCCTGTGGATTTTGAGGTAGGAATCTATTCTCACTGGTGGAAACAGCTGCCTTACCCCTTCTTCCTCACGTCCCATCCTACACATCCCCGCAGTAGTCAAGGCAGGGAAATGGCTTCCTTTTTGTTTGGCTTGCTGTTGGGTTCTTCTAAGTGCATCCCAGGTAAGACTGTGGAATACCCATGCTGTGGCCCTAGACAGCCCCTGCCTGGTATGAGAAATCATTTTTCAGAGCTCATCATTACAGTGTTCATGGGAGTTGCTTGTGAATTCTGAGTGCAGTTCAACAAGTATGGGCCGATTCTGGTGGAGAGCACCAGTTTCACGCTCACAAATGAAAACTACTGGGCACTGAAGTTTGAGCCTTTAAGGACCGTGGCTGAATGAAACAGCCCCTGCTGTTTACACAGTGGGGAGGGGGCTGCTAGGACATAGTTTCCAGAACAATGTTTAGTGGCTCTTAGGAGGAGGTTATAATATTTAATATCCATGTTAAAAACTCCAGAAACTGTAAATAAAGACGAGCTACTAGGGAGACTTTAGGGATATTAATTTCCATTAAGTTAATTGCGTTCTGCCCTCTATTTCTTATCTCTCTCTGCCATAGACTGATATGATCATTAGTCCAAAAAACAATTTTTTATTCTCTGCCTGGATTCTGAAATTTAATGATAGCAAGTTATGTAATGAGAAAAAAATACTCCTGATATAAAATTCCAGGTTTACAGATGATCTGGTTACAACCACAGTCCACGCTCATTCCCCTTCTGCGTTTAAACAGGGTCAAAACAGCCGTAGTTTAGCCCCCTTGGAAAGGGACCAAGTCAGTCTTCGAAGAAATACAGCCAGAATCCTCCTTAGGAGCAGGGCGGTGAGCCTGCGGCTTGCTTACTTTGCACACGTCATTGGGAAAGACCAGTCACTAGAGATGAACGCCATGCTTGGTCAAAGGGGGTCAGCAAAACGAGGGAAACCCTCCATGAGATGGGTTGACACGGGAGCCTCAGCAACGGCCTCAGACATCAGAGATCATGGAGACAGCACAGGACCAGGCTCTGTTTTATTCTCCCACCCGTAATTTTTTAAACTGTCCTTGCCATTAAAAGGCTTGCATAACTGGATCGTGTATCTAAGTCTGTCTGGTACAACTCCAGGGTTTCCTGTGTTTGGTAAATAACTGGTTTGTTTACAGGTTACACATTTCTGTGACTTGAGGTCCTCAGTTCTCACATTCCATACTTTTCCTACCACTTGATAATGAAATGCAAACTTAATTCAAATCAGCTGGGGCCTCTACAGATGGAAGTCTGCCGTGTAATTAGAGCTCTTCTTGTTTCTGCCTCTGCCTTGTCATTGACATACTGTGTTTGAGCCTAGCTTGCACCTGCACAGACTTAGTTTCTCCTGGCTTAACAACTATTCTGTCCCCAAAAAGCCACGTTTATTCTACCTTCAGCTCTGCAAATTCCCTCCAGGAAATATTTTTGAGGATAGATGTCTCATACTTTCAAATTCTCAATTGTTTTAAAAAGGTTTTTAAAAATCCTTACTGATTTAGTATACACTTTACTTGAAGGTGGCTTGAACCTTAAGTGTGTCAGTATATTTAAAGTATGCTGTCATATGCTTTAAATGATGTTAATTTAAATAGTGTTAAGTTAAAGAAAATAGAATGGTTAAGATAGTATCTAATGCAGATACACATTTCCATCATGGCAGAAAGGTCTGTTGGACAGCGCTGGTATAGACAAGTCTTGTTCCAGAAGTATGCAGCAGGAGCACTTGCTTTCATTGGACGTTTGTGGGGAGTGTTTGATTTGACTGAAGACTCCGTGAGAGCCTAAAGAATAGACATCAGCATTGACCTTGTTAGTGGAAAACAAACAAAATGTGAATTGTCTGGTTACCTGGGGTATCAGAAGGAAATCGGGATTGTGGAGGTGAAGTACGTTTTTATGCCAAACCATTGACCAGTGTTAGAAGCAGGCTACCTGAAAGTGCTTCTGGCATCAAGTGAACAGTGAGGGCTGATGTTTTTAATGTACCGTCATAAGGGTTCTGAAATATTTCAATTTGGAGCCCTGTTTTGAAAATGCAATGCCCAGCAAATTTGAATACCAAGAGATGAAGACTCCAAACTCAGATGCAAAGGCAGGTTTCTCATTGTGGGCACCAGTGCTGTATGGTGAAATTCTAAAGTGAGCTGCGTCTGTAATTTAAAATTTTCTCATAGCTGCAGTAATGAATTTAACGTGAAACAGATGAAATTGATTTCCATGAATTTTATTTAACCCATTATATCAGAATATTTCAACACTTAATCGTTAGTAAAATGTTCATGAAATACTTGGATTTTTTTTGGTACTAAGTCTTCAAACTCTGCTATGCCCTTTACATCTAGAACATGCATCGGCTTGGGCTAGCCACCTTCTGACACTCAACAGCCCCTGGGGGCGTCATCTTGTTAGGTGCAGTGGAGTCTGCTCTGACTCAGCAACTGTATGTACAACAGGATTATACACTGCCCGGTCCTGTGCCAGCCTCACAATCCTTGCTATACCTCAGCCTGTTGTGGCAGCCACTGTGGAGGGCCTTCCTCTTTTTTGTTGACCCTCCACTTTACTGAGCATGATATTCTTCTCCAAGGAATGGTCCCTTCTGACAACGTGACCAAAGTAGGTGAGATGAAGTCTGGCCACTCTTGCTTCCAGGGAGCATTCTAGTTGCACTTCTTCCAGGACAGATCTGTTAGTTCTTTTAGCAGTCCATGGTACTTTCAATGTTCTTCGCCAGCACCACAACTCAAAAGCATCAACTCTTCTTCGGTCTTCCTTATTCATTGTCCAGCTCTCACATGCATACGAGGCGATTGGAAATACCATGACTTGGGTCAGGCGCACCTTACTCCGCAGAGTGACTTCTTTGCTCTTTAGCACTTTAAATAGGTCTATTGCAGCAGATTTGCCTGGTGCAGTACATCGTTTGTTTCTTGACTGTTGTTTCTATGAGTATTGACTATGGATTTTAAACCATGGAGTGTCCCCTTGTTCTGTTCGAACAACAGCCTCCTGGTCTATGTACAGTTTCCTTATGAGCACAATTAAGTGTTGTGGAATTCCCATTCTTCACAATGTTATCCATAATTTGTTATGATCCACACAGTCAAATGCCTTTGTGCATAATCAAGGAAATGCAGGTAAATGTCTTTCTGGTACTCTTTGCTTTCAGCCAAGATCTATCTGATATCGGTGATGATTTCCCTCGTTCCACACCCTCTTCTGGATACAACTTGAATTTCTGGCAGTTCCCTGTCAATACACTGCTGCCACAGGTAGCTAGTGGCCACCATATTGGACAGTACAGATTTCAGTTGGAAAGGAATGAGAAATAGAGTTTATTTCTTCCAGGGAAAACAAATGGAACCCCACCCTGGGAAAAATTTACAAGCTGAGGGTGTCAGGGCATTGAGGGCATCTGTGAAAAATAACACGACTTCAGCGCATCTGCCTTTAGTCTCAGGTGTATGGTTTGCAAACTGAGTCTTTAGAAAACTTCAGTGCTGAGCTAAGTCAGAGACTCCTGACAGAGGGGCTCATTTCTGCAGTTTTAAGCTTCAGTCTTTATCTGGCGGTGGCAACCTATTCATTTTTCAAGCCGGCATAAATGCAAATGGAGGTCTGGGAGACTTTGGCTGAGCTTTGCTATCCTTGTAGTTTCCTACAATGACACTTTGGTAGAGAAATCAGGGGGATGCCCCCTGATGAAATCGTGCCTAAATGTTAAATGTATTAAACAGTTTGAACTAGTTTTTGGTTGCTTGTGCGCTGATAATCCTCATTTCCTTTGGTGACCAAACTAGAAGTGTCAGATACTTTATCAAATGCTGAGAAGGCTTTTCTTGACTGCTGTGCTCTGGGAGGGGTATGGAACTCAGTTTCCCCAAAGAAGCACCTGATGATTTATTTTCAGGTTCCATTCCTCATTACTCTCGGATCTGATGATTCTATAGAAAACAGATGAGTGTCTGCTCCAGAATTCGATTTTGTCAGTGGAGAAAATCTGGAGCCCTGCCAACTGTCATTTAGAAGCCTCGGGTGTGTGCAAATGAGTAGGATTTATTTTTGTTTTTAAATTTGATTTCAGTAACTGTCTTGCATTTGTTAGTTTTTTTGGCAGGAACTTTAAGGGGAAACGCCTTTTTTGTAGTTCGCAATTCCCCTTTAGTTGGCAAAAATAAAAAAAAGGGAAAAAAAAAAGCCTGTGAGAAAGGTAGATGCATGTGAACATCTAGGAAATGTTGAGTCCACTGCAGTAGAAATTCGCACACAGCAGCACCTTGTTTCTGTTTGTGTAGTTGAAATTCAGGTTAAATTTAGGAGTAGTCGGTGGTGGTAGTGGGGTACCATCTAGTTCTCATCTCAGTGTCATGGAGGCTGCCATTCATGTGGTCCATTAGACCTTCAGACTAATTATTTCCATATGTATTTGGTTTTCTTGACTCTCTGTTTCAGACAGGCAGAGACCAGTAGTTGCACCTTAGTTGGCCATTCACAAGCTTTTAAGACCCCCCCCCCACAACTATGGTCCTGAGAAGCATGACTGACTTTAAGTGAAACCTTTTTTATTTGTCAGTTTGTCTAAGCAAGAAAATGGGTTCCTGGGATTTATACTTTAGTGGGGGGCAAACCCATTTTGATCATGTTTATTTTTGCAGGATGATCCATTGGTGTTAAATGAAATCAGAGAAGACCTTCGAGTAGAGTGTTCAAAGTTTGGCCAAATTAAGAAGCTCATTCTCTTTGATGTAAGTTCATGGCTTGGACAGATTAATCCTAAAGCAGTCATTCTCTCAACTGCATGAGTTACTGCCAGATGTTCTTTAGTGTGTCCCCAAGTTCTTAATTAATGTTTTCTTATAGTAGGTGTGCTACTAGTGGCCAGCACCTGTCAGCATTAACTAGATGACCATGCTAGATTTGGTATGCCTTGATGATTTTTCTTCATCCTTACTGTACGATACCTGATCGGGTAGCAGAAAGTACAAGAAAACTGAGATTCCATGGTTCCCTGTTTGCCCATGTTTTCCTCTCTGTAAATTGTTGTCCTCTTCCATATTTGGAGGTTAGGAAAAATGTTCTGTATATTCCCCTTCTTTTTGACTTCTCAAATTGAGACGTAATAATGAAAAGAGCCCACGTTTATTGGTTATATACTGTAAGCTATTTTACATGTTACCTCATTCAGTCTTCACAACCCTTTGAGGTAGGTAGGTACCATGGTACCCATTTTATAGATGAGGAAGCTGAACCATCAGAGGTTAAGCACCTTGCCCAGTGTCATTCAGCTGGTAAGTGACAGAGCCAGGATTCAGTCCCAGGGCTGTCTGACTTCAGAGTCCACACTCTGAATGATTACATTGTCTTGCCTCTCAGACAATGTTGTCAGCAGAAACTTTTTCAAGGACATTATGTTTGGTTCTTGCGGGACAAGACGAAACTAAAGAAGCAGGTGGCTCTGTGTCACTGGCTTGGGTAAGAAGGAGGAAAGTACACACAGACTTCATACACAAAGTCTTTGTTCCAGTTAGTACAGCATTGCTATTTATCTACTTTTTCTCATCTGTCTTTTCATTTTTAATCTTATCACCTAGTCTCTTTTTTGTCCCTCCCTCATCTTTCTAGAGACATCCAGATGGTGTGGCCTCTGTGTCCTTCAGGGATCCAGAGGAAGCTGATTATTGCATTCAAACCCTTGATGGGAGGTGGTTTGGTGGCCGTCAGATCACTGCCGAAGCATGGGATGGGACCACAGATTATCAGGTAAATTCTGTCACTGCTAATGGTGTCTGAATTATTTCATTGCTTAACAGGCCTTCAGAGTTAAGTTTTGGGTTTGGTTTAATCAGTATAACATAACGACACTTATTTTTAAATAATATCTTATTCAGTACCTAGGAAGAAAAAGATTTTAGTCTTTGAGTATATAAATCTAAAATTTGGAGGCTTGCTCAAATTACTGATAAGTAAAGAAAAGAACATACTGACCCAAAACATCCCTTCCTTTTTGTGTTGTAAAGTACAAACAGAGCTCAAATATTAACTTTGTAGAAAATGAGATGTTTTTGTACTTTTATGGTATTTTCATTTATTTTAATGATCTTACATAAGGTCAACTGTGGTAAATCAAGATATGTAAGGTTTTGAAAATTAAAGATGGGGAATTGTTTTTATTTCCTAAGAAGAGTTGACTTGTAACATCAAGGTCGCATCCTTAATATTTAAAACACTCAGAAAAGTGAAATAAGTCAATCACAGAAGGACAAGTACTGTATGAGCCCATTACTGTAAAAAGAAGAATTTGCTTGGGAAAGGGAACTCACCTAGTAAGTTACCAGGATGGGGAGGGAAGGGGAGTGATTAACTTCGGGCTAGCTGGGGCCCACATGCTGACATGGATGGGGGAGGGATATACGGGAAGGATATATGACCACCATGATAACATTAGAAAATGGGAGGACAACGAATTGTGCACACAAGAGATAGATGACAGATGCTAATACCAACCAGTGTGCCCACAATACTGCATTGCCATTAACACCAAACACTAGACTATACAGATAAACACATAAACACCCGAGATGATCAGATGGGGTCAGTGAACAGAAGTATACTAGACAGACACCAGTGATACAAAATACCTGCAGTCCTTTCAGAAACAATAGAAGACAGACACAGTAATCCCACACAGACAACCAGAGACTATGGGAGAGAGATCCAGTAGATCTACCACCTCAGGACCATAGTACTGGGGGACACCAGACTCAATTGGCACAACAAAATTCATAAAAGCATTGCTCCACATCCTACATTGGCGAGTAGCAACTGGGGTCTTAAAAGCTTTCAAGCAACCATCTAAGATGCAGCTAACGGTCTCCTAGCATTGGAAGTGAAGAAGAACAAAAAAAATGGGGGTGGGGCTTTTAGAAGCAACAAGCCCTAGGACACGATGGACCTCAAGAACAGAAGAATTAGATGGTACTTGGCTACCAATGCCACCCACTCAGGAAAGGATCAAATCTGGAGAATCTGGATAGGGAGGGAAAATGTGGAACAAAATTCCAAAAACTCAATAATGACCAGAATCACTGGTGAGATGAAATCTGGTGAGACTCCCAATACTGTGGCCCTGGAATACATTCAGAGCCTGTAATAAAACTTACCCCCAAGGGCAGGCTTTCAGCCCAATAGTTAACAAGATGTACACGCAGACCACTCAACCCAGGGTGACGCACCCACATACTCTATGGTAATACATCCCTTGGAGCAAGAGACCACGGGACACCAGAGGACCAACATTCAAACTGAGGATATGCAGGACAAATAGGAGTGCATAAATATGAGGGGCACAGGGGGAGGGTTGCAGGGTAGGGAGGGGAGGAGACTGGATTAGGATTGGACATGATGAGTGGGGAATGAAACTAAATGTACGCGTTATGTTAAATGTAAAATAAGCTTTTAAAATAAAAAAAACACTCAGGAAAAAGCTGTTCATTTCTTTGGTGCACGAAACTTTAATGGCCATGTTCATTTATGCCCAGGTGGAGGAGACAACAAGAGAGAGAGAGGAGAGGCTGAAAGGCTGGGAGGCTTTCCTCAACGAGCCCGAGGCCACCAGAGGCTTTCGGCGCTCGAATCTCGCCGGTGCTTCACAAAGAGCCGGGCCTTCCAGAGTAAGGCATTTTTCAGAGCACCCTGGCACATCCCAAATGAAGGCTCCAGAAGCCGCAGCTGAAGGGGCGTGTGGAGCTCCCACAGATGAAAAGAAGTTTGAAAAAGCAGAAGATGGGGGAGAACGTGAAGACCAGCCTCCTGAAAAGGATGCTGAAGAAGGTGCCCCCAATGAAGAGTCTGAAGAAGCCTGCCTTGAAAAAGAGTCTGAAGAAGGAGAAGGCTGTCCTGCCAAAGGGTCTGAAGACGGCTGCCAGGAAAGGGCACCGGAGGAAGGCAGTCTTGGAAAAGAGTCTGAAGAGAATGGCTCTGAAAGAGAACCTAAAAAGAAGAAATTCAAGAAAGAGGAAGAGAATGGCCTTGAAGAAGCTAAAGCAGACAGCCATGACAAGGGTTCTGAAGATGAAGAAGGCCCCAAAAAAGAATCCGAAGATGGCTCAGAAAGAGAATCTGAAGAGAGCTCTGAAAAAGAATTTGAAGAAAATGGTCTTCAAAAAGAAGTTGATGAGGATGACTCTGAGAAAGAGGGAGAAGATTCTGAAAAATCCGAATTTGAAGATGATGGCTCTGATAAAGTGTTTGATGAGGAAGGTTCTGGGAGAGGGTCTGAAGAAGATTCAGAAGAAAAGGGAGGAGAAGAAGATACATATGAAAAAGTGTTTGATGATGAATCAGAAGAAAAAGAGGAAGAAGAAAATGCAGATGAAAAGGGCCCTGAAGGTGCTGATGAAAAGGAGGAAGATGAGGCGGAGGAAAAGCTGTTTGATGATTCAGATGAAAAGGAAGATGAAGAAGATGTAGTTGAGAAGTTGTTTGAAGATGATGATTCCGATAAGCTGTTTGAGTCTGATGAAAGAGGGCCTCTGGGTTATTTTGGGAATCTTCAGGAAGAAGGGCCCCTGTCCACAAGCAGCAGCTTTGTCCTCAGTAGTGATGATGATGATGATGATGATGATGATATTTAATCCCTTCAACTTGCTTTTTCAGAAGATACCTTGGTCTGCATTTGCCTTGGCCCAAGGTGATTAGTAGTAGCAGCACACGAACATGTGCATAGTAGTAGGATGTCACCAGATTAATTCGTTGATGTTTTCATAGTTACCTGTACTTAATCGTTTTAAATATGTGTTCATTGGTTGTTCACTTTAAAAGTTCATGGTCATAATGCAAGTAAACTGGATACTTGTCCTTTTGTCAGATTTGTTAAATGCATGCAGATTAATATTTTTAAAAGTATTCTGACTGAAGTTTGTGATACTGAGAAATAAAACTAAGTTGATAATATGCAGAAACAAAGTTGAACTTGAGTTAAATTGCATTTACAAATCGTGCTGTTGTTTCAGATACTAACCATCGCCTAGTAATGTTCAGTAAACCGTTAACCTCATGACCCATTTTGGGCTAGGAAATTCTAAAATGGATTAAATGTTCACTCTCAGGCTGCACTGTCTAAAACAGTGAATAATGGCTGACCCTGGCAGGTGGGCACATGGCCCCTGGGAGTATGTACGTGTGTGGGTACGTGTGCATGTGTGGGATGAGTTTCCCCACTGAGACATGCTGCCTCATAGCCTGACCTCTTTCCCCTGCTCACAGAGTCGAGAGATATCAAATACTCCTGCTCTTTTCATACAAACACACTGGAAGCAAAAGTCACAAACAGCTGTAAAGTGGTAAGTAATTCATGAGAGGATACTGATAAATAAGAAAGTCATGAAGCACCTTACGCGCACGTACGCACACACGCACACACACACACTTTCTAAGTAATCAGATTTCATTGGTCCTGTAAATGTAATCTATTACCAAAAAATTCAGGGGTGGATTGCAAGCACAGCCCTGTTCCACAATTCGCTGACAGAATTTCTAAGACTGACATAATTGAAGCCTAAACAGTTTTACTGTCATGGAGTTGATTCCAACTCAGGGACCCCCATAGGGTTTCTAAGTCTATAAATCTTCACTGAAGTAGACAGTCTCATCTTGCATCAAGCAGCTGATGGGTTCAAACCACTGACCTTTTGGTTGGTAGCCAAATGCTTTAAGCACTGCACCACCAGGGCTCCTTACAGAAGATGTAAACCAATGCACAAACTGGAAGTGGCAGAGAAAGGTTCATTAGTTTGAACAAAGCTCTTGGAGAATAGTAGAAGGTGGCTTATCAAATTGGCCCTCTGTGAATATTCAGCATTTACTGGGATTGTTAGCACCGAGATAATGTGAGTTACTGTTTTTTCCTCATTGGGTCAGATAGAAACCCAACACCCTTTCTTGGACAGTCACTTCATTGCTCAAATGATTTTTTTTCCCCTTGCTACAGTTTGCATACACGACTCTCGGTTTCTGGAACTCCATGTCAACTTCATTGATACAAGGGAAAATCTTAAAGCAACTCGTTTCTAAAATCACAGATACTTCAAATTGCCTAAATTCTTGGACACGAGTTACCACAGGGAATAATTACTTGAACAAAAGAAAGTTCTCTTGTAGGAATTCAGTGTCCTACAGGTGTGTGTTACTTTCCATTTGGAACCAAAAAGATACTGATGGTATTACCGGTATGTCAGATACATTACACTCCAATAGGTAGCTTGACTTGTGTTTGTCTTTTAGTTATGTGTGGAACTTAAAGGTTACAATGCATAATTTCAATTTTGAAAATGTGGTATCCTGGCCTTTTTTTCCTTAAAGTATTTTTATAAAGCAAAAAACCCAAACTCAACGAGGTTGTAGTCACTTCTTGGCCACAGCCAGCTACCCAGAAGGAGGAAGTAGTTGGACCTGTGGGCTCAGGACCATGGTCGTAGGGGACATCAAGCTCAATCAGCATAACATACTACACAAAAAATTGTTCCACATCCTGCTTTGGCAAGTAGCGACTGGGATCTTAAAAGCTTGCAAGTGGCCATCTAGATGCAACAGTGGGTCTCTCCTCATCAAGAGCAAAGGAGAATGAAGAAAACCAAAGATGCATGGAAACAATAAGACAAAGAGACTGGTACACCATGCGATTCTCAGCCTATGTGACTATGAGACCAGAAGAACTAGATGGTATCTGGCTACCACTATCAACCACTTGGAGGGGGATCTATGTAGGAGACCCTTGATAGAGAGGGAGAACAATGTGGAACAAAACTCAAAATCATTTGGGGAAAAAAAGGTGGGGGGACCAGGTTTGCTG